ATTAATAAGCAATCAAACATTGTGTGACTTCTGAACTAAATATAAACTCACCCGCAAAAAAATCCGGCCACTAAAAACTAGTCCCAATTTCAAAGTTGAATTTCTCGCGAACCACTCATTAGAGTTTGATGATTTTTTTTAAATTGATTGAATTAATTCCTTCTTAATGGATGCTACGTCAGAAATTTTTATTCCGAATCTATTTTGACCATATAGAGGGCACAACAATAAGACGAAGTTTTTTGCCCGAGCAGCTGTAGTAGCTATTGCTAAACAAAATCACATTGTAGACTTATCTTTTGTGAGCATTTCGTTTTGTTTAATCAAGACATTATCTCTGTTTGTATTGGAGATACGCTGGGGCTAGTTTCTAGTGGCCGTTTTTTTTGCCGGTGAGTGGGGATATTTTTGCTTCAGAATAGTGACACTGAGAAGTCCTTTACAAAATTATATTGAATTGAAAGACACTCAGTTGTGCATCAGACTGAGGAAGATTCTCTTTCTCTTTATAATTCCATATTTGAAATTAATATTAGAAATGATTAGGTGAATTGACAAACAATATAACATTAAAACTTTTTTAAGCTTAGGAGTAATTGAAGGAGTTTCTAAAAAAATCGAAATCATAAAAACATGAAGAACATGTGTTAGGCACATAGATTTAGAATAGTACACAAAGTACCCGTAGACGCTAGTGTATAGTCTGTCCAACGAGAGGATCCTTGACAGTGATAGATGTGTTTGTCATTTTAATTTCAAAGTAGTTTATTTTATTTTACAAAGAAATAAGTTGGTACAACTGGAACGCACAGCAGAAAATTAATATATTTCAAATTTGACTGACAAGTGATTACTTCAAAATATTGTGAAAAAAACTGTATAAAACTGAAAAAATGTTATCGAGTTATTTTATTTAATAAAAATCGGTATGTGTTAATACAACACAAACAAGAACAAGACACCACATACCAAAAAAATATAAAAAAGAACTATTTCTTACTTTTAAGCTTTATGAAGCTTCCCGCGTTGATGATTATATTTATCCATATAACTTATAGAGAAAATGTACAAATACAAATTTGTAATATTCCACAGGAATACATAAAACAACATAAATAAAACAAACTATTTCATTAATAATAACACCTACCAAATTTTATACCTTGAAGGTTGATTAATTAACTTTAATCTGAATTTTGTTAAACCAGTACCTTTTGATATTATTTTTCTGCAGTGCTAAAATCCATTATTTACCTATCGTGTGATGTCGATATTTTACAACTACTCCAGTTTTTAGTATGTGTTTAGTATGGTCCTTCTACCATATTCGCGATGCACTTATCTACGACGAGATGGTATACACGAACTTTATTGATGGTAACTTTATTGGTGTATAAGACTTTCTGCCTGGGCAGCGAGTATTAACCATAAACTGTGCTCTGGTTACAGTTAATTTTCACTCGATTTTTCCTCCACTTGACTTCAAAAGACACAAAACACACGTAATAACACGAATCAAAATGCATCATCTTCCAAAACGCAGAGTATTTGACAAAAAATTGACACAAAATTATAACCTATAATTTGGCAAGACTTTGACAACCGTCAAAAATCTAAAGGCGAGTTCATACGCATCGGCGTCCGTTAGTCGTTCATCGTTCCGTCAAACCAATAAAATTGAAATACGATCTGTCATTTTTGAAATAAACCAATAAAACTGGTTAAAAACAACAAGAGACGACGGATGACGGATTTATATTTAAACCCATCCATAGTTAACTTAAAAATTATTAGAAACTTTTTTTAGTAAAATAAATAGATTGGTATGGGACGTCATCTGCTTTTCTTCTGTCATCGTCTGTCGAGTATAGTAGGCTATAACGTTATTTGTTAAAGTACTTAACTTGTTTAACTTTTAACTTACTTGTTTATTTTTTAGGTAGATTATTTAACTTTTTAGATTTCTTTTTTGTTTTTAGTTAAAAACCATAATTTGTTGATAACATGGCAACAAAGGTAGTAGGTAGATTAAATTTACCAGACAGAAAAACCCAAAAAGCTCCAGTGGTTCTCAAAATCTAAGCAAAAGATATTTCTTTGTTTGGAATTTTTTAAAGTAAAATAACTCGGTTATTTTGGAGTTATTTGAACAGCGGTAAAAAGAAAATGTTTCTTTTATCGAGATCTACCGGCCCTGAAAATATTTGCTCTTATTCAAAACTCCCTGTATAATACCCAGAAAATCGACAATTACTAACTTTCAAATGAAATACGAGTAGCTCATACACAGCTATTTTTTTTTGTTATACAGCTTTAGATACATAAATATTAACACAAAGGTTCGTTTAAATGACATTAATGATTTGTGAATTAGCTACGCAAAGCGATTTTAGGAAATTCATCCTCTTAGAGTGTAAAATTATATCGAACAATTTGTTGTATTAAAATGCCTTACTATCTGGTCTAGAAGAATGAAATTCTACAGAAGAGATTTTTGAAATTCATCAACCAAATGGGCAAAGTTAGTAAAAATTTATAAAAACCTTCCTGACCTCTGGATTATACGCATAAAATTTGCACAAAGGATCAATTAAAAGACATGAGTTAATTATTTGGACATAGCGAATTTATGAAATTCATGCCCTTAGGGAGTAGAATAGGGATGAAAGTTTGTTGTACGAAAATGCATTACTATAACATCTAGAAGTATAAAATTTTATACAAGGGTTTATTTAGTGACTATGCCTCAACCTTTCAAAAACTAAAGTTTTGTCATATAAAAGTACTATACAACCTTTGTACTTAATAACACCACTATTGACGTCGTGGACTCTGTGAGATTCTTAGGACTTGTTGTAGACAACTCGTTAAAATGGGACTTGCACATCGAAGCCTTATCAAAGAAACTAAGCGCAGCCTGTTTTGCGCTAAGATCAGTTTCTAAGGAACTTAACTCATCAACCTCTAGAATGGTCTATTATGACCTTTTTGAGTCGCATCTTCGTTATGCCCTTCCATTCTGGGGTACTTGCTGCGTGACAAAATTTGATCGTATTTTCAAACTTCAAAAGAGAGCAGTTCGATACTTATTGGGACTAAACAGTAGAACTCACTGCCAGAATTTCTTTAAAAATTTCAAAATACTGACACTTCCTTCCTTATTCATTTTTGAATCTGTTTGCTTAATCCGCAAGCACATATTCTCTATTCCGGAAAGGCCGTCTCACAACTATCCACTTAGGAATGCGGAGCACGATATTTTTCTGCCAACCCCGAGCTCAGAACTAGTTAAGGGCTCAATACTGTACAATGCCAGGAAAATGTACAATCATTTGCCTTCGAATATCAAGTCACTTTCATTCTTTCCCGCATTTCGCAAAGCTTTGAAATCATACTTACTGGAGAGAGCCCTATATGCGGTAAACGACTTTTTTGTTGATGTTTAATCATGAACAATTTTGAATTTTAAAATTTTGATCATCTCACACACTGGTTAAAGGTCTAGTATTTAATATTTAATATTATATAACTCTTGATTTTATAATATATAACATTATTTTATCCATTTACAGTTTTCCTTTTGTAAAATTTTCTAGATACGCCTGTGTTCTGCAATGTCCATATATGTTTTATTTGTAATTCTATGACGTAAATTTTTTTGAATTGATTTGTATTGTGACATTTTTTTTTATTTTTTTTTATTATTTGTATATTTGTTTTTGTGCTTTTTTGTTTTGCTTTGTCGATGAGGCTGTTTTGGCTTTTTGTACAATAAAGCGCTGTTTTTTTTTCAATAATATGAACGAAATATTTCTTCTTCAAACCATCCTTCTAGGAATAAAAAATAACGTATAAAGAGAGTATTAATGCTCTTGAAAAATAAAATTAAATCGGGCGAGTATATCAAGAAAAGCGACAATTGGAAACTTCAAATATTCAATTGAAAACTTTACATGTCAAAAAAGCTATTTATTTTAGTAATACAGTTTATATGGGACCATAGGTAGGGTTCTATCTATAGAGGGTAAATAGTCATTTCACTATTTATTATTTTCGAGAGATTTTCTTTTTTCAGATTTTACAAAATTTCGACTTTGGTTCGATTTCTAAAACACCCTATACTCTCTATAAAGCTCTATCTGTAAAGAAGTAAACAATCATTTATATCAGTGCATGAACGATTCGAGGTGTAACGCGAACGTAGTTGCTGGAAAAAGCTAGTACAGAAATTACAGTTCAATTAAAAACAATTAGTTATTTATAGTGATTTACAGCAATTATATTAAATTATACGAATATTCTCGTTGATTTTTGGTTTGAAATAAATATGAAAGTGTCCTCCAATAAAAATGCGAGTTACTAACTCTAAATTCTAATTATGTGCTGGCAAATGAGCCAGATACTCAACCTAGACCGTTATTCAGAAGCTACAAACCTATCGATGAAAATATGCATGAAAATTTATTTCCTAGCACACAAGGTTGGTACAATATCAAGTTTATTATCGTGATTTTCTTAGCCGCGTATGGTACAGATCGTTACCCAGTGTTGCCATAAGCTTATTTTTCATCGGGGTAGATTATCACGAGATAGCGGGGTTAAATTGTAATAAAAAGGGGTAGATCTACCCCGAATAGGGTAGCTGTGGCAACACTGCCGCTATCACTTTTCCTCTCGCGGCCGTTGTTCAAGGCCGAGTGTCACGACCTCGAATTTTTACTCTCAACGTGTGTAAAGAAGTTTAACTTCAAAAAGACAATGCTTTTAATTATGTTAGTACTAAATGAAGATATTCTTGCACTAAACTCCAATACGACAATTCAATAATTTTACCTATAGATTTTCATCATTAATTCTGAAGGTACATATTTAACAATTCACTTACCAAATATAGAAGGGCCCTCAATGCCGAAACCCACATATTTCGAATATTCCGGTTGCAGCGGCGGGAAGCCATTTGACTTTTGTACCTTTCAATTAACGAGCTATTATTGTTTCAGAGGAATGTACGGCCGACAGATGTAGCCGAGTGCCGTGCCAACACGGGGGCAAATGTCTGACAAGCGAAACCTCGGCAGTGTGTCTTTGTCCGTTGGGGTTTTCAGGAGATCTATGCGAGATACGAGTAGACTTACAGGTAACTATTTAGTCGAGGTACAAGCTTAATTTATGTTTATAGGGATATCGACAACGTTTACAAACAGTAAGGATAGAGGAAGTAAAACAAAGGGATATTTGATTTTAAGTGACCTTAATTCTGTGGTACTAAGGCAAAACCACGGCATATAAATCACAAGGCAGGCTAACTCTGCCCAGATCCCATTGTTTTAAATTTCTATAAAATTTGACCTTGAAAACACCATTATGGGTGCCGAGTCAGGGCCGGATTAAAACGTATAAAAAAATTTCCCAGAAAATAAACTATTGATAGACAGGGTCGTATTAAAAAAAATACTGTAATTGACTGAAACTGAATTTTATTTACACAATAATACTTTTATCTAAACAAATGAATCGTTACCCGCGCATACTCCTCGAAAAGTAGCAATGAAAAAATCAATTAAACATTTAACTGTAGAGAATAGACAATTAAAATTAAAAAACATGCCTCGAGTTACAAACAAGAATTAAAGAAATACCCAATAAAATATCCAGTGAACAATCTAAAGAGGCTACGTACAAATTATGTCCATCAATGGACATAGCAAATTTTGTTAATATTCACCATAATATAATAATAATATCATCAAGTGCAATTTATTTTATAATAGTGGTCGTGATAATATTGTAGGTTTTCAGGACCAGAATGGGAATAGAGAGTTTAAACCAACTCGGGTGTCTAATGTTGTTATAGTAAGAGGTATCTCTACCAATGGAAAGCAGTCCCTAGCTTATTTTACAAGCTTTTATTTAACTTGCTTTGTATGTATTTTTGTTCGGGGCAAAACTTTAGAAGCACTTCCTTTCATTGTAGGAAATTGAAATTTGGCACATAGGTTCAGTCCCGATGACAACACATTTTCTTGCAAAGCATGACCCGAATTTTTGACAGCTGTCAAAAAAAATTCAAAGTTGTCCGATTTTGATAAAAATCGATATATAGGATGGCCAGGGGCTAAAATGAAAGAAAAAAAAATGAGCTGTCAAATTTGACAGCTGTCAAAAAAATTTCAAAGTTGTCCGATTTTGATAAAAATCGATATATAGGATGACCATGGGTTAAAATGAAAGAAAAAAAATTGAGCTGTCAAATTTGAGAGCTGTCAAAAAAATCTCAAAGTTGTCCGATTTTGATAAAAATCGATATATTGGATGCTCCCTACCCCATAATCGGTTTTCATTTTATTTGTCTTACATTTGAACTGTCAAATTTGACAGCTGTCGTTTTTTTAAGTTCTCCTTTTTTAATGAAAATCGATATACATATTATTGGGAGGCCCATAGAAAGTTATTTAAGAAAAAGAATTGAGCTTAAGTGTGTGGCACTGAGAAACCAGCATAACTGAAAAGTAAAAAATAAATTTAAGAAAAAAAACTTTTTAAAAACAAGGTTTTATTTAAATACATTAAAAAGAAAAAAAATAAACTTTTATTATGAACTGATAACGTCATTACAGAATTTTATATTATATAAAAGCTTGTCGCGAGATTTGAGTGTACAGTTGCACTCATAAAAATCTTTACAACAACTTTATCTTGTAATTTCTGTAATTCTTCTAATTCCAATATCTTGTAAACCTATCATTATTCCCATCCAGGATAAATTCATCCAGTTTAAAAGAACATTTAAAAAACTTTGTATCCGAATATTACACACGGGTACTGAAAATTGCCAAAATGATCTGGTAAACATCTTATTAAAAACGGCAGACCTTATTTGTTTACGTCGGAATCCGTAACATTATTATAAAAAACAACTAGACCTCTGTCCTTTTCTCTCGAATTGTCATGAGCTATCCATAAAAATTAAAAATAGATACGGATAATCAGAAAAACAGTAATTTAGAAATGAATCTTGTTTGTCATTTTGCAGGATACCTAATAATAAAAATTACTTTGAATGCCGTAGGCAATGATTGAGTATTAAAACTAAAAGAATTTCGGACTTCCATTGTACTACTAAACTACAAAAACCAAATATATCACACACAATAAACAAACATAAAAAAACAAAATATATCACTCAAGAAAAGAATGAAATAAATTAAGCCGCACGCTACTGACTCAAAGCTGCCGTAACTAGTAGTGGGAACTATCGAATGAATACAATCGAATAATTCGATAGTTAGTAAGAAAACATTCGTTGAAAACTATTCGAATAAAAATTATCGAATAGATCCGTCATCTGCCTTGAAATATTGTATTCTAGTAATTCGGCAGCAAAAACCATTCATTTATAAAATTCATTCATTTATGAAATTCATTCATTCGTCAGGATCGATTATAATAAAATATTAACTGAATTTTAGTTGTCGCCCGGCGACGTAGGTTTCTTTCCGAGAAACCCGACAGCGGTCGGTGGCAATGCTATGAAAGAAGCCGGCATCTTTGATTTTTTGCGGAGTCAGATATAGATAAGGACACATTATTTTTTTTATTGAGGTGCTAGTATTTACACAGAAAATACATTATGAAAGGCGCTGCTGCCATATTTTGGTATTAGTTGATATTAGCAAAGAATATTATTGTTTGGCTTTAGTTAATTAGGGATAGTATGTTTACATATTCTGCATTTTTTTTATTAATATTCTGTTGTTACACTGCAATAATACTTGTTATTTTGGATGTAGGAAAATTATTTTTAATGTTTTTTAGCAAAGACTGGTTTAATAAATAATAATAACAGTAATAATTTGTTATACCTATTAACAACAAAATTTGAAATCATTTAATATAAATATTTTCTTTTAAGTAGTAGCAAAATATAAACAACAAATTAGATGTCAAAATTATTTATATTAGATCCTATTTAAAAATAATATAGTCTCTAAATTTTTGGCAACGTTGGTTTATTAAATAATAATAATTACAGAACTAATTTGTTATATTAACAACAAATTTTAAAATCATGAAATATAAACATTTATTAATTTTCTAAGCATGCAGTGTAATGGAAGGAAAATATAAATAAAAAATTAGAAATAAAAATTATTTATATTAGGTGCTTTATATTACTATTTAAAAATTATATTTACTTTTACTGGCATTTACTTTAAAAAATAAATGAAATATTTTTTCTTCGCAAAAAACTACATGTAAGAGAATTAGCATAAACAAAATACAAACATCGTTAACTTTTTTTTTAATTGGCACGTGTAAAACTTTCGTTTTAATTTTCTCACCCCATAGTTTGAGTTCGATAACCATCTACTTAAATATGATTATACAACCACATTACTTAAATATGATTATTAAGTTCAACTAATTCATATTATTAAAACATCTAAAATACAAATATTTATTTTTTAAATTAATTGTAAGTTCATCTCATCTCTCTTAAAAATTGCTACTTCTCAAAATTTCCCATTAAAAAATAGACCATATACCATATAAAATTAAATAATTGAAAGATCGGACTACGGAAAACCACACAAATTTTCGGAAAAATTTTGACGACCTGCACATGCACACAATCGTCAATAAATAAAATTAAAAAATAACTACTATTTAGTATTTTAACTATTTTAATAAACGCAAAAATAGCACAGTATTTATACGGCGAAGTTATAAAAATTTGGAAGAACTAATAATGCACTGACGCATACAAAAATCAAACGAATGCTAAATTTCATTTATCAAAAGCATTCGATAGTCGTGACTCAACGATAACCATTTAGTCGCACGGCGAGGTTGTCACATATGCTTTAGTATACAAATGAATGAATGATTTTATTCGAATAAAACCATTCGATAGTTGAAATCATTTATTCATTAACCATTCGATAGTCTAATTCATTCGATAGTTCCCATCGCTAGCCGTAACTGTATGTTCTCGATGACAAAGACTACGATTGACTACGACACTGGTTAATTTCTGTTACTGGCACCCATAATGGCGGAGTGCGCTAGGATATGCGCGTAGCGTTCCCGCCAAAGCGAGTTGGCCTGCCGTGTGATTTATATGCCGTGGCAAAACTATGTTAACATTAGAGGTTTTCGGAATTAAAATCCTGGATTAGGTAGTTTACTAATCAGCTGTTCCAAGATCAGTGCTGAGAGTAATCAGCTGGTAGTGTAATTACGGTTGGATCATTAGATTAACCGGGTTACCAATCACATTTAAATATATTTCGTAAAAAGAAATAAATGAAGCAAATAATCTTAATATCCGTCTTTAACGATGGTATAAGATCCATTTTTATCCTATCTGTTTTGCTTTAAGTATACTTTTTAGTTTCTGTAAGACTTTTTTAAAATTATGCCATTTAAAACAAAAACACTATAAACTTTATTTTAATCATTTATTTACTGTCAACATAATAAACTTTCCAACATATTGATAATAAACAAATATATAAATTTTTATCTACCACTAGCATGTACCCGCGACTTCGTTCGCGTCGAATTAATCATTTGTAATGGTGATGAGAAAGCAAAGCAAGAATTTCCATTAACATACAAACTGGATAAAATTTTCTCACATTTATGTCAGCATGAGAAAAAAAAATATGGCGATATTATTATACAGGGTGTCCCAGAAATAAGTGCAAATATTTTAACTGGTAGTATAGTTCAACCCCAGGAACACGCCAATGAGGTTTTTTTCGCGAAAAAAAAATTTTGAAAATTGGAAATTTTTTGAAAAAAATTTTAGAATTTTTTTTAGTTTTTAGTTAAAAAACATAATTTCTTGATAATATGGCAACATAGGTATTAGATTAAATTTACAAGAAAGAAAATTCAGAAAAGATCCAGGGGTTCTCAAAATTTTAGCAAAAAAGATTTTCTTTGGAAATTTTCAAAGTAAAATAACTCCGTTATTTTGGACTTATTTGAAAAACGATAAAGAGAAAATATGTTTCTTTTATGGAGATCTACCACCCCTTAAAATATTTGCACTTATTTCTGGAACACCCTGTATAACTTGGTAATATTTGAGGGGTAGTTTCACCTCGTTGGAATTTGACTTTCGAAAAA